AAAGAGTGTGTTTTGTGATGAAAATAGGAATTCCACAATTTCCCTTACTTGGGTGTTTGTCATAAGAAAATAACTTTGCTTTTATCATAACCAGGTAATTCTCCTCTCTACTTCTATCAAACCCCATATACCATATGTGTGTTTGTTGCAAGTGAGGTAGAATTTACACAGCGGCATAGGGCAGTTAGCAAGCTTGGCAGCCTCAGCTCAGATGTGGTTAGTGCACGTAACAGTTTTGGACTCAGGACTTTCCAATTCTAATCACACAAACATAACCTGCACCAGAAGTCAGGGAGCACCTGTTCTCTAGTTTCTTCTAGCACTTTGAAGAAAACTGCTCCTTTCCCACACCAGAAATTTCCATCCATTCATTGATTTGACACTCCTGCTCTCCTGACTTTCTTCCTTTTGTCCCTAATAAGTGTGACAGTATAGTGAAGGTATGGCTCAAATTCCTTTAAAACTCATTCAGGCCTAGTCAGAAACTATGTGTTCTTCAAAATTATTTAGACTGTGAAAAGAAACGATGTTTCTGTGCTGATGTGACTTTGAAATGTCTGCTTCTTCTATGGTATTGGTGTGAGCTGTGTGAATGTGGGAGTTGAAGATCAGTGCTGCTGCATAGATCTGAAGTCATTTTGCCTGGAGTTAATTTGTGAAATACTTTTATTGAAGGACTCTTTCCTGAGGTTCTTTGCATAAGCAGCAGACTAACATCTGCGTCTTGTTCACAGGCACAGAGTTCTATTAAACCTTTTCAGGTTTGAGAACCTCTGCAACTCCCGCCTCCAGCTATGTTTATTGTATAGGTAAGGGTGGAAGGGCCATCAGATTACAAGCATATGTGTCTTTCAAAAGGTTGGCAAAGAATTTTTCATCTTGCAGGGGGAGAAGTGTAAGTAGGATGGGTGAATAAGATGATCTTTGCTCTTGGGCGTGACAGCATAGTAAATCCCTGGCAACTCCTGTGTACTCAGAAGCTGAAAAGTGCTACTTTATTACATCCTTATTTAAAGAAAGGAAATGTCTTGTGTTCGTTAGGTGCAAAATGTGACTTAAATATGAAAATTTTAAGAGCTGTTCTTCCACAGAGTGGATTGGTGGAATTGCAAGAAGTAACTGTGTAAAGATTCTGTCATTGAATAGTTAGCTGTGGAGATGTTATATCCCTGCAGTATTTGCTTTGAGGGAGGTGGATCTCTGCTGAATCTGTAGAATAAAGAAATTCTACCACTTACCCACTTTGACTGATTTTTTCATGTGTATATTTAAAGCAATATTCCACACCATTAACCCTACCATTTCCTATCTGTCAGTTAAAATCAGGTAAACCTGTTACCAAGGCAGTTTAGTGTTTCTATTGGTTTTGTAGTCCCTGAAAAGTCCTAGTTCATGTTTGTATACTAACCTGACTGCGCATAGTATTTAGTGAGTGGCGCAGCGTTCTTACTCTCATACCACGTCTCTTGCAGACTAGTCCTTTTGCCATGGAAGCTGAAGAAACGATGGAATGTATCCAGGAATTCCCTGAACACTATAAAGTTATTTTGGATAGACTGAATGAACAACGTGAGCAGGACCAGTTTACGGATATCACTCTGATTGTCGATGGTATGTATGGGCCTGAGAACCAGTTGGCACACAGAGAATTCTGAAAGCTGTGCTGGGATTGGGTTCGTCACAAGTCAGCTGTCAAACTAGAAAACAAATTCTTGGTTCTCTGCTGGTGTGCAAGTTGCTTGCAGTTTCATTTAAAATCTCAGGGTGAACAGTCTCCAGCAGTTATTAAGAATTTTGCTTTTGCTTTTCCAAACAAGGGGCTAAATATTTACAGACAGAAGCCCACTTTGAAACTGCTTTGAAACATGTTATACTCTAATGTGTTGTCTAAGGATTTCCGAAACATTGTTAAAATATTTTTCTCTAATTTGAGCTGACTGATTGCATGCAGACAATTTGTAGAAACATTGTGTTTAAAAAAAACCACAAAACAAAACACACCTTGAAACAAGATTTACTTCTTGCTTCTCTGGTATCTGCCTACTATTTCAATATAGAGTTAAAATTAGGGTAGAAGCACTCACTTTTCTTTTTATATGTGTTCTAAGGACATACGTATTAGTTTAAAAGGATGATGGAGGTATAAGTGCCTATTATCTCCTTAGAAAAGGTGGTGTTTGATAGATCACCTAAGATTGCTTCTTATCCCAAACGTGTCTTAGAATGGATGAGGACTTCAAGGAAAATAGGCAGTGTCCACTAGGTCAGACTTAACTAAAGGGGTACTACCTGATCTTTAAAAGGATAGAAAGAAGTCTCTTGAAGGAAAAGGGTTCTACAGAGCCCAGATTAGAAAAAAGTAAGCAAAAGAAGAAAAAATTATCCTTCGGGAATCACTGTAGTTTAACTGCCAGCGCTTGCACAAAACTTATCCTGAATGTTTGTTCCTGCTTTGGTATAACGAAATCCATGTGTCGAGCTCAAAGCTGGTCTTGTGTGCAGCTGTGTAGTTCTAATCCATGTTGCTTCTCTTATCTCTATCCCATGGAGCCTTATGAATGTTCACACCTGCCCCAGGGAGAAAAGCAATGCAGTAATGGGGAATATGCAGCCTGGAAAACAGGAAGAGCAGAGCAGAACTGATTCTGTTCTGCAGTGGTGTTTATGCTGGCAGAAGTGGTGATAAAATACATCAGTCTGTAAGAGCAGCAAAAAACAAGGAGTACCAGGATAAAACCTGAGAGCTGAGTCCAAGACATACAGAAAAAAATTTGCACAGGAATTTCACATAACTTAAATATCTGAAAAGGGAAGCACTGGAGTGAGTGGGTCCTCCACCTGATTGAGTTGCAGAGCTTCAGCAAGGTCAGTGATGTCAGCAAGGGTCTGCATGAGATGGAATAGGCTAGCTGCAGTACTATCCCATGTTACAAGAAGACGTACTAGGTGACTATATACTGCTGGCATAGATTTGTAGACTGGGTGGTCTCTTCTCTGCTTCTGCACTTATTTGGTACTATGAGTGAGGAAGATGTTATCCTAATCCAAAATTTTTTTCTCCTTTTGTAGGTCACCATTTCAAAGCTCATAAAGCTGTTCTTGCTGCCTGCAGCCAGTTCTTCTACAAATTCTTCCAAGATTTCACTCAGGAGCCCTTGGTGGAGATTGAAGGTAATCTGATTTGTGCATATAAGAACCTTCAGAGTTGTGTGCCCAAGCTGGAAATTAATTTAGTGTCCTTAGTATGGGCTTACATAAATGCTTGGTAATATCAATTAGCTTTCTAGATCTTGGCTCTTGAGTTCTTCTTCTTCGGCAGCTACCACCACTGGAGAAAAACTTCCCCTGAAGGAAAATTAAAAAGAACAGTCTTGAATTAAATCTTTTGGAAGGGAAAGTGTAAGGTTCTGTGGGTGGGTTTTTTCCCCCTTTTGTTTTTCCTCCCCTGAATATGTGGTTAATTGAGCTCAGGCAGACCCTGTATGTTTTTAGGACTAGCAGTGTGACATATAATATTTTCCCTGGTGTGCTGGTTTTGGCTGGGATAGAGTTAATTTTCTTCATACTAGCTCATAAGGGGCTATGTTCTGTATTTGTGTTGGAACAGTGTTGGTAACACAGGAATGTTTTAGCTATTACTGAGCAGGGCTTACACATAGGCAAGGCCTTTTCTGCTTCTTACACCACCCCATCAGTCAGTAGGCTGAGGCTGCACAAGAAGTTGGGCTGGGACAGCTGACCCCGACTGACCAAAGGAATATTCTGTACTGTATGACTTCATGCTCACTATATAAAGCTGGGGGAAGAAGAAGGGGGGGACGGGATGTTCAGAGTGATCGGGTTGGTATTCCCAAGTCACCATTACGCATGATGGAGCCCTGCTTTCCTGGAGGTGACTGAACACCTGCCTGCCGATGGGAAGTAGTGAATGAATTTCTTTTTTTGCTTTGCTTATGTGTGCAACTTTTGCTTTACCTATTAAACCGTCTTTATCTCAACCCACAACTTTTCTCACTTTACTCTTCTGATTTTCTCCCCCATCCCAGTGGGGCAGGGGAGTAAGCAAGCAGCTGCATGGTGCTCAGTTTAACCCCAGTTGCTGGCTGGTGTTAAACCACAAAACCTGATAACAGCCATTCTGATCAGATGAACAAGGCTGACAGTGATGGCCAATGGCAGGTGCCTTGGCTGGGGTGCAATAACAGGATAGACATGAGGCAATACTTGCCTGGTAGGCAGGGAGCAAATTCCTGGAGCAATATTTCAGCCTCCAGTAACTTGCTGCTCAAAGGTCTCTTGAGAGAGATTGTATTTTTGTGTTTAAATCTGTACTTTTTATTATTCAAACAGCTTTTTGTCCATCTTATCCTCAGAATCATAGAATTGTAGAATAATTTGGGTTGGAAGGGCCCTTTAGAGATCATCTAGCCCAATCCCCTGCAATAAGCACAATTATCACAGTAATTCTTCAATTAGATCAAGTTGCTCAGAGCCCCATCCCTCCTTTTATCTTTATTGGGCTGTAACTCTGTAGTTGTTCCAGATTCACATGTTTGTATAGTTTTATTCCAACATGAGCCTTTTCGAGTATCATCTTAATGAAACTGGCAGCTACAGTACTGTGAGCAAAATGGTGAGCAGGCAAGTGTGCAAGATTCATCAGATAGATGAGACTGAGGAACTGCTAAAAGAAACTGTTGTTTTTCTTGCCTGTATACAGGTGTAAGTAACATGGCATTTCGTCACCTAATTGAGTTCACATATACAGCAAAACTAATGGTCCAAGGTGAGGAAGAAGCAAATGATGTTTGGAAAGCCGCTGAGTATCTACAGATGTTAGAAGCGATCAAAGCACTTGAAATCAGGTAAGCCCATATGCCTCTTCTTTTTTTTTTTTTTTCCCCTCCCCAACTCTGAAATGTATAATCAGAAGAATCCTTTTATGAGAGCTGGCTGACAGTATTTTGCAGTGCTGTTCCTTATCCTGGAACCCCATAGACACATTAGCCAAGGAGAGTGCCATTAGCCCAAGTTCTTCTAGTAGCCAGCTAAAGTTTTTGTTAAAAAAACCCTCCATGACATAATACACTGGAAACTTTGTTTTCAACATCAGCATTTATTTCTGAATTAACTTTTTCTGTGCTTATTCTGTGGACTGGCAGTAGAGCTGGATAAGTATGTAAAATTTTCTTTATAGGAAAAATATGGGATTTTACATTTCTAGTGCCCTACCCTCCAACCCCACAAACACCCTTTTTTGGACATTATTAAGATTAAGCATGGTACCACCAAAAGAAAATTTTTTAAATTATTACTCAGGAAAACAAAATCAGACCGTAGCTGTCTGCTTGAGGAATTTAAAAGAAACTTGAAACTGAAAAAGTATGTTCTCGTCAGTATCACTTTGAGTCAGTGTACACTGGTAGAGCTGTTGAACCAGGATTTGGATCCATCCATCAAGCTAAACTGTCCAGCCTGCAATTATTTCCCACTGTTGTATAATGTTGTGAAGTTTGTTGGTTATGCATCATTAGTAAATGCTGTAATTCTTGTATAAGGAAACAAATGTTTTGCTTATCGAACACACATGCAAGCTAGTCATTTTTCATAGATCTTGAAAAGTTTTTTGTGGGAGTTTTTCGTTTCGGGGTTTTTTTTTTTTTCTGTTAGACAAACTTGAGTACCACTGTCAGTCTCTGTTTTCTCCTCCACAGTAAGAGGGGGAAGAATTGCAATACTGTGCCTCAATCAGAGCTTTAACTGAAAGGGGTAAGCTTCAGAAACTTCAGCTGAAGTAGTGATGATTGTAGAACTATTTGTATAATGCATTGAAGAGTTGCACATCGCATAGACTAGAAAGAAAGCAACCAGCTGTTATTCCTTAAAGTGCAGTTGTGTTGTATGTGTGTATCCCCATTAAAAGTTTCACACAGTGAGGTCAAGGATAGTAGTGTCCACTTTGCTGAGCAGATTATTCTTTTGGTATGTGATCCTGGAATTCCTTGCAGTAATTTGCAAAGTAACTGTCATCTTCTAGACATCAGAAATTCAGGCTAAATGAAACTGTAAGTTTAGCTCCTCTGTCTTCCTGTGTCTAAATAGAGTAAGGTGCAATTTAATAAGCTGTATCCTGCATTACATCATTAGCCACACATCTCTGACGTATGACTTAGACATACTGGGCAAAGCCGTATCTCTCCTGTTACTAGAAAGTGTCAAAGTGGTAGGGAGTAGACTATGTGAAAGGATTCATCAGGCTGCAAAGGAACATAAAAGCACAGCTTACTTCTGTCAGTCTGATTCAAGGGAAAGATAGCCACTCATTTTTGAAACTGATAATCAGTAGTAAAACCTCCAGCACATAAGTGTTGCAGATGATCTAGGGTGTGACTTGAAAGCACTGGCCCACTCAGCTCTGTCTGTGTTTGAGGTGGGATGCTATCCCTTACACCTTGGAGGAAGGGGTTTGTGTGTGTGTGGATGCAGGAAGAACAGGAACAGAGCTGGGAGTTGTGTTTAAGCACAGAAAATTAAACTAGAATAATCTTTCCACAGCCCAGTGGCTTTTATTTTTACTCCAACTATTAGCTGTGTGCTCTCCTGACGTATGAGATGTTATAATAATCATTGTGTGAAGTCACAGCTGTAATGTTTTCTAACAAGCTGTAATCGCTCCAGGCAATTACACACACTCCAGAGCTTAAGAGGTTAATAGCATAGGAAGGACTTGAATCTTATTTCTGAGTAGGCAGGCCGAAGAACTCCTTCCTTTGGGGAAGTTTTCTTTCCAAGTATAGAATTTCACGAGTTTCTTAAATAAACCTATGTCATTAGGCTAACTCGTCATCCTTCTTGATGGATGCTTTGCATCTTTCAAGCAGAGCTATTTGAAACACTTTAGTAGCCTTACATCAAAGGCTCTGCAGCTTTAACCATGCTATTTTACAGCTCTAAGGAGTGTAGATTAAGGACAAATTAGCTTCTGCCATACACACAGATTATGTGGTCAATCATTATTCAGCTTCTTTGAGAAACAGCTAGAGCGTGTTGGATGCAGAAGCTCAGTATTGGGAGGAATTGTTATGTCAGTACTTACGGATCTTAACCATGTTTATGCAAATGCTTTACAGGAACAAAGAAAATTCATCACCCTTAGAATCAAATCAAGCACAAGGTCAAAATAAACCGAAAAAGAGGAAGATAGCTGAAACCTCTAATGTTATCACAGAAACACTGCCATCTGCAGAATCGGAGCCTGTTGAAATTGAGGTGGAGATTGCTGAAGGGACGATTGAAGTCGAAGATGACAGTATCGAAACACTTGAAGAAGTAGCTTCTGCAGAGCAGTCTATAAAGTACATACAGACAACGGGTACATCAGATGAGTCTGCTTTGGCTCTTTTGGCAGATATCACCAGCAAATATCGTCAGGGAGAGAGAAAATGCCAGATCCAGGAAGAAGGTGATAGTGCAACTGATCCCTCATGCAAACAGGTAGAAGGTATTGAAATCGTGGAACTTCAGCTGTCACACGTGAACAATTTATTCCACTGTGAGAAATGTAACCGTTCATTTAAATTGTTTTACCATTTTAAGGAACACATGAAAACACACTCTACTGAGAATTACAAGTGTGACATATGCAATAAAAGGTACCTACGAGAGAGTGCTTTGAAACAGCACCTTACCTGTTACCACCTTGATGAAGGTGGTGCCAGCAAGAAGCAAAGACCTGGCAAAAAAATACATATATGCCAGTACTGTGATAAGCAGTTTGACCACTTTGGGCATTTTAAAGAGCACCTCCGGAAGCACACAGGTAAGAGTGCTGCTGTAGTCCTGTCCTTCTGGCCTTGGCTCTAGCACTTTGGGTGTTTGCATGTTTTGGGGAAATAGAGAATATGCTGAAGAGAACACATGAGTCCTGAGTGCTAGAAATACTTGCTTCTAGTTGGAACTAAAATGCTGGTTTATCTTTTTGTTTGTTCATTTGTTTCATTTTCCATTGATGTAAACTTCTGAGGGATTGAGGTGGTTGAAAATAGGCACCTAAAACCAGAAAGTGCTAATGAAGCTTCTTTCTCAAGTCTATTAAATCTTAAAGATTTTTTCAAAATAATTCTTAAGGCTTAAGGTTTCCTTCTTCAGAAGTACCAAACTGATGAGCTACTTTTATTTTCACAATTCTACTAGTAAAAGTTTCTGTTGAAATATGATCTGAACTGTGAGCTTCCCAGTGGAATACAGTTTAGAGGGTTTCTTTAACAGAACTTCTGAGCAAATGCCTATTAATGCATTAGGCATAAAATACTCTCGTAAAATTCTCTTTTGTACCATCTGGTTTTGAAAATTTCACCCTTGCTCTTGACATCTCATCTATGATTTGATTTTTCTTTGTTAATTAACACAGCAAAACATTTCCGGTGATTATAGTCCGCTTTTTTAACTGTGAAATCTGCCTTTATGAAATCTGGATGGCATCTTTTGAGTACAAAATTATTTGTGCTCCTTCTTTCTTCTTTATAATGTGGGAGGTTAAGATGCTACTTCTTCATCTCACTGACAAGTCTACTACCTGAACAGGTACTGAGCGTTATACAGATAACTCTGAATTTAAAATATATGTGGTCCTGATCTTCCAGGTGTTTTTGTTTAATATATCAGTCGTGAGTCATCAGTAAGAATCGAATGGAGCCCTATTTCTTTCACAGCTTCTTATTGTTGTTAAAGCCTTTTAATTCAAATTTCTTTGTATCTGTGTATGGGACTGCTGAGTATTGATATATGGCACTGTGTGCAATGTATTCCCAATAGCCCCATAAAAGTTCCATTTATAAACAGTCTTTGTCAAATCTTAATCCCCTATGAAGCAGGGAGTGTTTCTCCATTATGGGCAATCCAAATACAAGCTACTTAACAAAAGTCTTTTCAGAGAAAAGTTTGTGGCAGGCTAACAGAGTAACCCAAATATCACAATGTGTTGGTGGTTGTTGCGACAAAGGATTTTGGGGACAAAGCAACTTAGTATATCACAGGATGTACAGAATACTTTCTAAATATATATTGATATATATATATAATGCATGGAATCTAATTACTTCCAGTTTAGCATTTTCAAAATCCTTAGGCTTAAAACGAAAACAGATACTACCTTTTAACTCTGGTCTCCTAAGGTGAATGGACAAACTTCCATTCAGCCAAAGGCTTTCTGAATTCTGTATAGCACTGGTTGAATGCTAAAATGAAATTAAAAGGCCTGGGAGAAAATGTCCTACAAAGTTTGGTTTGCTGTTTAATCACACCACCAGTAATAACATGAAAGTAGCAACTGGAGCAGAAATAGACACCTTATCAGCACTGGTAATTCTTTTTGATGTAGGAATTTGGCATTACCAGTGGCTATTATCATTGTCTCAATAAAAGAAAAGAAGGCCATCCATGGAGTTTTGTTCTCACTCATGTGTACAGTGTCTTAAGCAGCTTCTGAGTCCTCAAAAAAATTCCTCAAAAATGTCTTGCATGTCTTATAACTCTGAAAATTATTACTAACAAAGTCATGTCCAGAACTTATAAAGAGGGAGGGGTTTTAGTCTGATCTAATTATTTTCCTTTTCCCCGTTATGAGAATAGATGAGATTTCACTTGCCAGTTGTAAGCAACACAGGACAGAAATTCTGCAAGGCTGCACTTAAGTAATGTATATCTGTTGAGTTCAGTAGCTCTGATTGGTCTTATACAAGAAGCTAAATTAATCTGCCCTTGTCTGAAAACCTTGTAACTGAAGTAACTTGTATACAGATTTCTTAGGAAAAATTAATCAAGGTTTTGCCATTCTGGGTAAATCTAAAATATGATTCATGGGAACTGTACTTTGAATTGCAAATAACATCTTCCATAGGAGTGAATAAATGGACTCTATTTACATGCCTTGAATAAATGATCCCAAGAAGTTCATTTGATAAATGCCTATCTTTGGTGTGTTTGTGGGAAAAAAAAATAACAACTAGGTTTACTATTTTTCTCTAAACCCAACCTAAATAATGATATGGTAGCTTTATGGTTGAATTCCCTGGTATTTCTTACATATTAGGCAAATAAAAGTCACTGTTTTAGTTGTTATGAATTTCTTTGGGTTAAAGCATATTTCTTTGGGGCAGTCTCCTTCCTGTGAATATCGGATTGTAAAGGACCAGCACAATATTGGTCTATCTCTGTCCAGAATTTCTGTCCTGTGAGTTACTTAAAATCGACAAGTGAAATCTCATCCATTCTCATAAAGGGAGAAAAAGGTAATCATTAGATCAGGCCAAAAACCTTCCTCTTTGTAAAATCTCACTTAGATGAGACTAAACTCAGTTGGATGATGCGCAGGGGAGGCAAAGCAAGTTGTCACCTTTAGCAGAGGAGTTTAGCCCTCAGCTTGCCAGTGTGTTTCTCAGAGAATAAAGAGGAGGCAAGACAGCTGGCACGCTCTCTGTTTTCCATCACTGCTGTGACTGGTGCAGCCCAGGTCAGAGCATTGAATTGCACCATGCAAGAAGTCACACAATGTCGTTTTGGCCTTTGGATATTGCCACCATTATCTTTGAGTTGTCACTTTCAGACACTTTTGGTAGAATATGTTGGAGATTACTGAGGACTTTGAGTAAGAATAGAATAAATGTGTCCCTGACTTGTGCCTTGTTCCTAGTAACTATTTAAATATGATCAGATCACAGGGCAGGTGAAGGTCTGTAGTGTGAGTTTTGCTCTGTAGTATCCACTGATTGCTTGGGCAAAGTCCGTGATTTCTGACCTGTAAGACTGACACCAGTTCAGCATCCTTTGCATTACCTGTACAACAGTCTCCAAAAACATAGCATTTTGTAACCATTAAAGGGGCATGTTCCCACCATTTAACATTTTGCTGTGGCCTTTATAAGTGAGAATTATAGGCTACTTGTGGATTTTGTTTGAAAAGCTAACTAGGAACTTCTGAATATCTTTATTTCTGAAAATATGGGTTTATTGGCTTTCCATCGCAATAGTCAATAACTACTGCATTCCTGAAAATGCAGACTTTTAAACTTGCTAAGATAGATTCTTATGCTATTCACTGAAATGTCTCGGCCTCTTTTGGAGTTCATGAAGCCATTTGTTTCAGTAGTAATGTTGGTGTCAGTACCTCTGTAGATTAATTATCAGACTTTCAGAGAAACATACTGTTCCTAATTTTTTGTACTTTAAGTTCCTTGAATTTCATTGTGTTTGTGCATGATGAAATTAGTAAACAGAGACACCAGTTGTTCTTTGTTACTACTTGATGACAGTAATAACAATATACTAATTTGGATGAAAAAGAGAAAACAGGACCTGTTTTCAGCCTCCTCTGCTGTTGTCCTTAGCTGGCTTCTGTGTTTGGTACCAGGTTTGAAATTAAGTGGCCAAACTGAAAGGAATTTTTATCTTGCTTGTGCCCATTTATGTCCCTCTGTGCTTTCTCTTCACTGTATTTGGGGGTGAGGGGTGGGAGTGGTGGTTTTGGTTGGTTGGTTGTTTTAATACTGATGCATTGTTATTTCATGGTCATTCCATGCCAATTTCTTTTTATGGAGCTCAGTTTCAGCTCTCGAGCATAAGCTGTTACTGTTCTTGAAAATAAAACTTTGTATTATTTAAATGCTTCCTTCTTTAATGTGTCTCTGTCTATATTTACTAATGTTGTTTCATTAATTGTAAATATTATCAGAGAAAAAGGGAGAAATAGCTGCTATTTCTTTAAGATATTTCATCAGAATAGTAATCCAACTTCCATAAAAACCTAAATGTATCTTAAATGGCACTGGTAATTATTACATTGTTTTTTTCCTAAATGAGACTTATGACTCCACATTAGGTTTTTGCCCTTTTATTTACATAAATAAAGTTTACATAGAATGTCTTTCTCTTCTTCTGTAGAATAATCTAGTTGGCTGTGTCTTTACAGGGTATTTATTAATCTACACAAAAGGAAGAGGGAAAGAAGAGAGAGCTGGCAGAAAAATGGCTGGTTTTATACACTTACAAATCCCTGTATCTGTCTTAACAGGTGAAAAACCATTTGAATGTCCAAACTGCCATGAACGTTTTGCTAGGAATAGCACGCTCAAATGTCACTTGACAGCCTGTCAGTCTGGAGCTGGAGCTAAAAAGGGAAGAAAGAAGCTGTATGAATGTCAGGTGGGTAATGGGAGTAGCAGAGTCTGAAGCTAGATAACTCCTTACTGTGCTGAGGGAGTGTGGGAGTACTGAGCAGGAAAAGCAACCAGAGTGGGCTTATGTCTCCAAGAACTACTTTCAGTAAAATAAATATAAGGATCACATTCAACCACAACATGCAGATAAATTCTTATATTTAAGTAGCTCCATTTAAAATAATGGAACTACTGATATGGAGCCTCATAATACTTAAAATCAGAGAGATTCTTATGGGTAGGTAAGTGTTCATCTGCATTTTACTGATCTTTCTGCTTCCTTTTCAAGGTTCTTGATGCACTGACCTAGGCCTTTCCCGCTTGTGAGCATGCTTCACTAAAGTCCAAAATACAAAGTACTATTTTATTTCCTATTTTATTATTCTTCTGTTTGATATCCAATATATTGACTTTGTCTGGAAAGTCATTCCAACTTATGATGACAGTCTGTAGTGCCTTTTAAGCAAATAATAAATGCTGTAGATGCTTAACTAGGGTACTTGGTCACTATATGTAACTGACATTCGAAAAGTTGTTCAGATAAATCTTACTTAGCTTTTAAAAGCTGGTTCTGAAAAGCTAGAAAATATAAGAGCTGAGGTTGGTTGTAGCATTTTTATTTGCCAATTTGCTGCCCCACTGCTGTGACAGTCTCAAATAAGAACACACTTTTCTTTCTCTCCACCCCCTGCTTCCCTCTCTTCTACCCTGGCACCTCATTCATTTCTGCAGTCTTTGTGTGTTGTTTTCAGGCTACTTACCTCAGTGCCAGCTGAAGGGAAGGAAGTATGCTCAAGTGTTTTGTGAAAATATCGTGTCTGCAGTTGAGGCAGTACTTTTAGCTGTAAGAGAATTAAAGGAATGGAGTTTTAAGAGAGTTTTATCTGCTGAAATCACTCGTTTGTTTGTTTTTTTTTAAATGGCAAGATGGGAGAGTTCAGTCTAGCCAGTGGAACCTCACAATGCCATGAGCAAATGAAAGCTGATAAGGAAAAGTTGTCTAGTAGTACTGCATCTAGAACTTCAGTAAAAGGACAGTTTGTGTTACCCCTTCATTGTATATTATTATTACATAAATAGCTTTCCACCCAAAACTCTCTAGCACCAGGCATTTATTGGGGCATGATACTGTATGTGAATTTCATATAAGGTTAAAATAAGAAAACGTTCAAATGCTGTACTGACTCATAAATTTTGTAGGTATCCTGGGTATGCACAACTCAAAGTAGCACACCTTTTCTTAAAAATGAATAAGTAACTACCACATCTTTTGTTCATCTGAAGCTGACTCCTCAGCTTTTACCTCTAACAAATGTGTTTTTTTAATCCAAGTAGCAAGAAGCTACACTATGTGAAGCCATGATCTGAAATAGACGCTATACTTTGTCATATTTCTGTTGGCACTGTTTAACATACTGTATCTTTTGTTTCAAGGTTTGTAACAGCGTGTTTAACAGCTGGGATCAATTCAAAGATCACTTGGTAATACACACCGGTGACAAACCCAACCACTGTACCTTATGTGATTTGTGGTTTATGCAAGGCAGTGAGCTGAGAAGGCATCTCAAAGAAATGCACAATATTTCTGAAAGAATAGTGGCAGAAGAGGTTCTTCCAGTGGAAGCTGAACCAGTAACATCAATGACTATAATAGAACAAGTGGAGCAAGTCCATGTCCTACCAGTAATTCAGGTACAAGTGGATCCTGCACAGGTAACGGTGGAACAGATGCACCAGGACCTCATACAGGACAATCAAGTCAAAGGCACTCAGATAGATGAACTCCAAGAACAGGTCCAAATTAGTTACTTGGAAGTCGAACACATTCAGACTGAACAAGGTGCTGAAGTTCATGTGGAGCAGCTACATGTTGAACATGTAAATCAAATACAGATGGAAGAAGTGCAGGCAGAACTTATAGATGGAACAGACCTTGAACAAGTAGAATATGAAAGTGTTGATCAAGGAGAAGCAGAAGAAAAGGAACCTAATCAAATAGATGATGCAAATAAGGAAGATCATGAACAAGCTGAAGGCTTAAAAACTCAACAATCAGAGGACACACAGAATGAAAAGGTGGATGACTAGGGCAAATAACAACACTGTACAGGTTTAGGAATGAAATACCAAATTATTTTTGTTAATTTTTACATTGATTTTTGAACTGTCAGTGGTCAGCGTTTCAGTATGCTGTCCTTAGGAAGCTGGACAAGTGGACCAAAATTAGCTTTCTTCATGTACAACTAAACTTGAAAAGTAACTTTCCCATTCATGTAGTACCATGGAACAGAAACTACCACAGATATGGACAGCTTTGTGAGGATTTTAATCATAATAGCTTGTATCATTGTTACACCATTCCTGGGTATATGTAAGAGTAACTTCACCTCTTTTCCAGTAGAAGCAAGCTCTTGTTACAGGTTTGCAGGATGTCTGTGGCAGAAGAATTGGTAAAATCTGGTGTGTTCTATTGTAAGTGGCAATTGGGTACCTGCGAATTTTCTGATCAGACTGTTTGCTGTATCCTAACAGCAGTCCCTAACTTTAAGGCTGGGGAAAAAACATTGTTGCTGAAGGTCTCGGAGCACAAAAATCCTGTGCCTTTTCAACACTGACTGGATAAATTTCCACAAAGTTCTTAGAGTGTTCAAGAACCTAGTTCAGTAAAAGGCAATGTAGGTAATATTATAGTGCTTTATATTTTTGCTTAAAATTGTCAGCTGCTGATTTTTTTTCATTAAATTTATAGGTGGGGAGCTGAGGGAGGAAACAGATTCCTTGTGGAGGCAGCAGGATGCTCTAAAAGGGATGCTTTAAAATAGGAAAAGCACGATAGAATCTGTGGTAAACATGAGCTGGAAGAAAGCTACCAGCAGACACTTCTGTTATAAATTGTCATTTTTGCAACTGAATATGTTTAAACATAAATATAGAGGAGACTTGTCTATGTGGTATCAGGTTCTTTGTTTTTTGAAACAAAGTTCTGACACTTGACACAAAGATGTGCTAAACGTAAAAGCCATAGGTATGAGTGCTAAACTGTGGATTGAAAAGTAGGACTGTAAATAATTTAATCAATATTAGACAATAAAACAATACCAACCATGAAACTTTGCATTATTTGTTTCATCCAATAAATTAGGAACAACTGAGTGACTGGCAATTATAGTGCCAGCTCCCAGTGGTAAGAATCTCATTTTTAATAAGATTTATAGCTCTTTAATGTAAAGCTAGATTAATTTAGAAAATAATTGTCTATCTCTATGTTCAAGGTTCCTAACGTCTTCTAATTCTCAATTATTGCCTTGAGATTAGAGGTGCTGCACACTTTCTTTTCAAAGCCTTAACTGAAGGGAGGAATTTTTGCAAGGATGTTCCCTAATACTCTTTGTAATACTGTAGATCTTAGTTAAAATCAGGCTTTTCTATTCAGCCTTCAAGTGCAGAATTATTTCCTGGGATTTGTGCTTTTATTTAGTCTCATTCAAAGTTATTCTTGTGTTTTATCATAGCCTTTGAGAAACCGTTGCAAAACAAACATGGATCTCGATTAAAATTTCAAACAACTTGATTAATGAAACTTGCATTATTTTTAATGATGTCTTCTGTTTTCTGAGATGCAAGTAATATGTGATGAGATTCTGTGCAGAGGGAAGAATGTGGCCCGATGTTAATCATGAAAGTAAAAGTTGGCTATTGTATTTATACCTGGCTTCTGATAAGAAGTTCATCTTTTGATAACATGGAGGGGACAGGCCTGCTTGCTTAGCTGCATAACTAATTTTTTTAGGTATTTGTGCATATAGACACAAGGTCTGTATCTGTGGCATTAAAGCGATGTTCTGGCTGTGTATCTAACCAAGGAAACTAACTTTTAGGTAATTTAAGTCCAATGTAAATTGAGCAGTTATGTGGTGTTGGAGGCAGGACTGTGGTTTGATAAGAACAGTTGGGCTATTTCTTTGTTCTGTTTGATTTCCCTTTTTCAACATCATTTCACAAAGTTGGTAAGAGAGAAACAATGCTCTATTGTTGTGCCCAGAGCTGCCCCATCCAGATGCCCACTGCCTGGGTGGGAGCATGGTGGGACCGTGAGCAATCCCCTCCTCACTCTAAGGGACTGGGTGAAAGGCTCTCCTCAACTCTGCTGGAGAGCCTTGCCATTTGCAGCCCTCTCTTCCCTATAATTTCCTTCCCAAATGTCTGAAGCCCAAGTTGCTCCCACCAGTGGAGTCCTTCATGCCTCCTTACTGCAACAGCTGATACTGGTGGAGAGAAGATTGGTGGAGAAGTCAGAAGCTCTGGCAACTCTCTGTAATGGCCACCTTGCCATCCTCTTTCTGCCCCAAATGTCTGTATAGACACACAGACCTCTCTGAACTCTGTATGGCCTTATATTATGCACCATTGGAGGAATTCTTCTCTCTAAATACATATATGCTGCTGGTTCCCAGAGCCCTGTGTTGTGCATGTACTGATCAGTACTTGCAACAGGGCAGCACCCCGGGTGAAGGCTTGAATTTATGCCAAATGAAACTAGTTGGCTAAAGCAGTGGGATCTAGGCAGTAAGAAATGGAAAAGTGGGAATGAATAAAATCCTGTGAGGTGTGTCTGGATATAAAATAAAATTGAGCATCAAATTGAGACAAAGGTTAGCAGAGTTAGTGGCTTTTT